TGTTGTAGAGATGCCTAGCAGCCATATCTGAGTTTCCATCAGCATGGCCCACACTGTTCGCTCTGCCCCGGTGATTCCCTAAGACCTCGCAACATCCAATTTGCAGCCTCACTCAAACTGCTTGCAGTTGGTTTCCCACATGAATGGCCTGTCCTGGCGCAGACTTCAGACTTTGCTAAAATCTCTCAAACAAGCAGCGCTGACATCAGCATGCCCCATACCTATCAATAAGAGGCCCAAGACCCAGCACTACCACCAGCCTGCCTTGCTTCACAGCTGGGCCTTGCATGGGCACTTCCTAGCCCAATACTAGTACAAGTAGCAACCATCTGCAGAAGTCTCTGTAGCTCCTGCCAAGTGCCCCCAGGCAGTGGCTGACTTTGCATCTCCTGGGAGGCACCAGAGCCAGTGGACCTGGGGAACAGCTTCAGACCATTCCAGATTACAACTCTGCACATCCACAAGCGATACACTCAAGAAGCTGACTCAGTGAGCACCAAACCCCCACTGAAACAAGTCCTGTTCCATAGGGGTGTCTCCTACACAGCAGCTCTTACATTGTGGACACAGCTGGTCCTCACAGCCAATTGGCCTGGAGGTCAATTCCTCCCAGTGATGTCAACAGCGATCAAGGCTCAACTACAACAAGACTGTGCACACAGCCCACACAGGGGTGCACCTAGAGTGCCCAGCTTAGGTGACGGGACACTGAGCCACTGAGCCCTACAAGACACCTAATACACAAGTTCTCTCTACCAATTCCAGGAGACATAGTAGCTCTACCTAATACATAGAAACAAACACAGGGAAGCTGCCAAAATGCAGAGAAAGAAACGTGTTACAAATGAAAGAAATAGAAGTAAACAAACTACTAGATACAGAGTTTAAACCAATGATTATAAGGTTGCTCAAGGATCTTAATGAGAACTTCAGGGGACTTAGTGAGACTTTTAAGAATCTTGGTGAGAATGTCAAAGACATGAAAAAGGACCAGTCAGAAATTAAGCATACACTAACTGAAAAAAAGAAGAATTTACAGAGTTTGAACAGTAGAGAAGAGGATTCCAAGAATCAAATCAATGATTTGAATATGAGGAAGCAAAAAACACTCAATTAGAAGAGCAAAAAGAAAAAATAATCCAAAAATATGAAGCTAGTGTAAGGAACCTCTGGGACAACTTCAAGTGTACCAGCATTCACATTATGGGGGTGCCAGAAGGAGAAGAGAGAAAGTAAAATATTTGAAAACCTACTTGAAGAAAAAATGACAGAACACTTCCCCTATCTGGTGAAAGAAATAGACTAACAAGTCCAGGAAGCACAGAAAGCCCAAAACAAGAGGAACCCAAAGAGGCCCACACCAAGACACATCATAATTAAATGCCAAGGCTTAAAGACAAAAAGAGAATCTTAAAAGTAGCAAGAGAAAAGCAGTTAATTACCTACAAGGGAGTACCCATACAATTGTCAGCTGATTTCTCAACAGAAACCATGCAGGCCAGAAGGGAGTGGCAAGAAATATTCAAAGTGATGAATAGCAAGGACTACAACCAAGATTACTCTACCCAGCAAAGCTACCATTTAGAATTGAAGGTCAGATAATGAGCTTCACAAAAAAGAAAAAACTAAAAAAGTTCATCACCACCAAACCAGTATTAGATGAAATGTTGAAGGGTATTCTTTAAGAAGAGGAAGAAGAAGAAAAGATAAAGAATGTGAACAATAAAATGTCAATAAATACGTATCTATCAACAATTGAATCTAAAAAACTAAACAAGAAATCTAATGAATAAAATAGAATCAGAGGCATGAAAACATGGAACAGACTGACCAATCTCAGAGGGAAGGGAGTGCAGGGGGTGGGAAGAGATTAACCAAAGATCTTACATGCATGGCATTATCAATGGACTCAGACAATAAGGTGTTGAAGGCCTGGGGTGGGGCAGGGTGGGAACCAGGTGGAGGGGGCAATGGGGAGAAAAAGGGGGGCGGGCATCTGTAATACTATCTTCAATCTATATATATAAAACCCTAACATGCAAATAGACCAAACGGCAGAACAACCGAACAACTGTTCGCTATGACGTGCGCTGACCACCAGGGGATGTGCGTGGAATATGGTGGTGTCGGCAGCAGATGGCAGGCTGAAAAACATGGTGGGTGTTGCCTGGTGGGATGGTAGACCAGATGAGCAGGGGCACCAGACCAAGGTGAGGCACCAGTTGTTGTCATCGGGGGGAGCCTCTGGTGGTTACTGCAAATTCTTTGCTCTCATGTGCCTCGGTCCTGCCAAACACTCACACCTGCTGCCGGAGCTGGCCCTGCTCGCACCCACAGCCAGCACCAGAGCCGCTGTTCACACCCTCTGCCAGCGCCAGTGCTGGTCCCAAGTGCTGGGCACTGATCCCAAGTCACTCGGTGCCATCAGCGGGTGCAAGCAGCAGCTGCAGGCCCCAATTGCCCCTGAGGGGCGATCAGGCAGTTAGCAGGTGTGAGCAGGCCAGCGCCATCAGCGTGTGGGAGCACGGGCGGCGAGAGTGGGGCTGCCAGCCAACAGGGGACCAGGGGCCACAGTGGGAGGGGCTGGTTGGGGCACAGAGGATGGGCTCAGACCCACCCCTGTGCCCACCAAAGCCTTGCAGCCCACAGTTCCTTTCATGGTGCATGAATTTGTGCACTGAGCCCCTAGTCAACAATAAAGATTGAAAAAAGAAAAAAGACAAGTCCAGGAAGGTAGCGTGAGGACTCTGTGAATGAGGGATTAATAACCAGGAATGAGAAGTGTAGACTTTCTGTAAAACAACCACCCAGCTTACCTTTCATGTGCCAGGGTCTGGAAATAAATAACATGTAAAATTATGTCGTAAATGGGCTGCCTTGATAACAGGACGTGGTGTGTAGTCTGTGTAAGTTCTAATGACCAGAAGCATGTACCACTGGGGTAGAAAGTCAGCTAGCAGACATGTCTAGCACCAACCACTGGGGCAAAGGTCTCAGAGAGTTACAAAAGAATTAGGAGAGGGAGAGAATGTCCTGCTGAGGAACCAGGGCAGGCTGCATGGAGGAGGTGGCATCTAGGTGTGGCCTTGTTGGACAAGGAGGGGTGGTTCTGGAACAGGGCATCCAACCCCTGGTCACCTCTCTGGACTGTGACACAGCCTCCCTCCTCGTTCCCCAGAGGCCCTGTCTACACAGCACTTTATAGATTGTAGCATTTTCCAGTTTCCATCTTGGTTACTTGTGAGTAGTCTCCCACACTAGACTTTGAGATTTGTAAGGAAGGGAGGGCGAGAAGGGGAGTGGAAACGCTGGACTGGGCCTGAGAGTAGGCACTAGGGCTAGATTATACGCTGGAACATCATCCAAGCCAATCTGAGTGCTGAAGTCAGGTGTGGACCCGAAGAAGAGATGAAGGCTGGGGTGGGGACGAGGAAGAATCTCCAAGTTCAGGAGCGAGTCTGGCACAGGCCTAGAGCAGGAGCACCCAAGGAGGAAGGTGCCTAGAGCGTCTCCGTGGTCAGGTCGGGGGTGAGCAAGTGGTGGGTGGGAAAGGCATCTGTACATCTGGTTCAGCACTGGGCAGGTCGCAGCACTCGGGTGTGGCTGGCTAAGGAATTGGCTGGAGGGACTCAGGCAGAGGCCACAGGTTGAGGGTGGAGGGGAGTGGAGAGCTGGGGCTTCAAGGGGCCTCGAGCCTCAGTGGAGACCGTTTTCCTTGGAGCTGTGGGAGGCCCAAGCTTTCTGCAAAGCAGCAGGGAAGACGGCAGTGGCCAGGAAGAGCCTGCAGCTGCAGGAAGAGACAAGCGATGAGACAGACAGATGGAGCGGGGCTCCAGGGGACAGGGGTGTGAAGGCCTCAGGGGCAGCCAGCAGCAGAGCAGGGGCCGTCCCCAGCGGCCCAGGCCTGAGAGGCCCTTCTCAGCTGGCCGGAGACAGGTGCTCAGTGGCTCCTGTCCCTCACCCCTCCTTGGTGACCAGGTAGAACTGGAGGCAGAAACGAGAACAAATAGAGTGATACCCCGAACACACCAGAGCAGGGGGCGGCATGTTTCAGAGCACAGAGAACAAGGACGCTACCTGCCCTGGGGCATCTGCTGTGACAGACGCTGCCTCACCTGGCTGGCCCAGGTGCTCACGTGGGAGGGGGACAGGCATGTGGACATGAAGTCGGTCATTGTTCCGTGTGCTGGCGGCAAAGGTTCAGAGGGACAGGCTGCGGCAACGTTTGGGTCTCGTGCACTTCAGAGAGAAAGGACTTTTGAACCTGTGAGAAGCCGCTTATTTCATCTGTATGTTTCCTTGAAAAAAAAAAAATACGATTGCTTCCTTTTTCTCTTAATGAAGGTAATAAATTCTCGTTGTAGAAAATATGAAAATACAAAAGAGTTAAAAAGGAAGAGGGGGTTGACCCACAGTCGTACCACCCAGAGATCGCGGTGAATGTGAGAGAAAAGTCAGCTAAACGTGGTGGTTTTAAAGGCGCTATTTCTCTTTTCTCAGAACACGGGGGGAGACAGCTGTGGCTGTTTTGGGTGTCATTCTTTACAAATGGAAGGGCATGCTTACCATTTTTAAAAGAAAAAAAAGGAAGAAGAATGTGTCTACAGTTTCCAAACCAACCAGGAAGTGTGTAAAGTGATGGTCTTATATTCCAGAAACCTTATCTACTTGTGTACGTCCGTGTCATTCCAGAAAAAGTCCCTTACGAGGGAGGAAGTGGGCTCTAAGATGTGTGTACAGGAGCAGCTGCATTTAAGTTTTTGTGGCTCAGACCAGAGAAGCACAGCCTCTTTGGTGCACCCATAATGAGGATGCAAAGTTCCCTCAAGAAAAGGAATTGTCCCCCCCGGGGAGAGGGGCTCCCAGCCGTCGTTCCCCTCCCACCGCCCCCTGCTTCCCCCCTCCTCTGCCCCCCCGCAGCGTCCTGGGTGTGGGAGCCACAAAAGTGAGACTGAAGCGGGACCGGGAGTGTTTTGACAACCTTGTGTCTCTACCCACAGAGAAGGGCCTGCCTCCCGCAGCATCGGGGCCTGGAGCTGAGGGCCAGTCGGGGCCGCCCTGGATCACCATCACCCCACAGAAGCGGCGAGGGGCCCCCGAACAGCCACCCAACCGGGAGGACAAGCCTGGGGCCCAGACCCTGAAGCCCGAAATAGGAAGGGCAGCCAGGGCACCTGAGAGAGCCCAGGTGGGTGCGAGCACAGCCTTCCTGTCCCTGTGGATGTGGGAGGGAGCAGCTGGCCGGGCTGGGGCCGAGGCCCCACAAGGACCACGCTTCCTGCCTGGTCAGCGCAGAGCCCGTGGCCTGGGGTGCTGGCTGCTGTGCTGGCTGCCCGGGCGGGTGCGGGGCTGTTAGGGAGGCAGAGGAGCACCTGGATCACTTAGGCGGGAGGGACAGCTCCCAGCTCCCTGCCTCCTAGGCAACGCACGAGGCATCTGGAGAGGCGGAGCAGGGTTAAAACAGCTTCTCAGGCAGACCCGGCGGCCATGTCAAAAGCTGCCTCTCAGCTCGGGGTGGACCAGCCCCACTTTTGCTGCTGCCGGGGTGCCTGCCAGTGATGCCAGTGCAGGTCAGGGTCCCTTCCTCCCAGCCAGGGCTGCCGCGCTGCACCCAGGGTCCATTTGCAGTCTGGACTGAGAACAGCTTTTTCAACCCCAAACAACTGTGCTTGGAAGCAGGCTGAGAATTATGGCCTCCGCGGTCCCCCAGATAGCCACCGCGGTGAAGCCACAGCGTGTTTCAGCCGCCGGGGAAGGGGTGGGGTGAGGAGAGGCAGAGGGGGAGGGGGAGGGGGAAGGTAGAGCCGGCAGCAGGACCTACCTGCTCCCCTTCATCTTAACCCAGATCTCAGTCATCCCCGTGCCTGAAACCCTGCGTGCAGACAGCATTTATAAGCAAATACTAACCAGCGATCTGGTTTGGGGCATCTGTGAGCAGACCAAGTGTCAGAAAAACCTCAAAACTACTTCCAAACACCATTCATTTTGACTTTCTGATGGGACCCCTGCTGTCCAGTATCGGGGGCTAAGGCCAGGGGTGGGGACAGGGCAGAGCCCAGGACGCTTGCGTGTGCCCAGGAGCATCCGAGCGCCTGGTTTTGAAGGCTGGTGCCCATGAGTGCACAGAGCAGAGCCCAAGACGGCGCCGGCCGCACGCCTCCTGTTGACAGACCTTGTGGCCCCTGCCTGGGGTTCTGCTCAGACCCATCTGAGCCTCAGGTGACGGACAGAGTGTGTCTTTCTTGCGTCCTCACAGGAGCCCGTGAGGCAAGCCGACTTCATCCGCAGCAAGTCTTTCCTGATCACCCCGGCGAAGCCCTCCGTGGACCGAAGGCAGGGGACCAAGCTGTGCCTCCAGGAGGGGCTGCAGAGAGGGATCTCCCTGTCCCATCAGAACTTGGGTATGAAACCTGCAAACGGTCCCAAACACTCTGACATACGCTTCTGGGGTGGGTCCCACGGGTTTTGTTTTTTGGTGTGTTTGTCTGTTTTGTTTTTCTGAATTATTTGACACATTGATTTGTTAAAATGGCTTTTATTGAGATATTGCCATCAAACTCACCCGTTTTAAGTGTACAGTTCAGTGAGTACCAATTGACAGCGAGTATATATTTACTGAGTTGTCCAACCAGCACCATCCAATTTTAGAACCTCACCCTAAAAAGCAACTTTGTGCCCAGGTACAGGCACTCGCCATCCCCACCCCACTCCAGGCAACCACGAATCCACTTTCAGCCTCTGCATACTGACCTTTCTCAGACACTTCTCATCCCTGGAATCATAAGATGCGTGTTCTTTGGTGTCTGGCTTCTTCACTGAACATCCATCTCTGACATTCCACGTATCAGTACCTTTCAAATTTCTTTTTAATTATGTAAAATACACATAACAAAACTTACCACCTTAACCATTCTTAAGTGTGCAGTTCAGTCGTGTTAAGAGTTTTCACACTTGTACTCCCAGTCCCCCAGGCTGCAGTTTTATTCTAGAAGTTTCTCTCTCCTCACTGCATGGGGGCCTCCTGTCAGTCCTTTTGGCACAGGAGTTATTCTGGGCCTAAACCTTTTTCTCCTTTTTGCACATTAAGGATTTCCTGTTTGAGACCACAGTTAAGGCCTCAATGCGTATTTTAAAGAAGTGCAGAGGCCTGAGTGAAAATTGAAATGCGTGGCTCATGTGTGTGTGTGTGTGTGTGTGTGTGTGTGTGTGTGTGTGTGTTGTCTTCATCCCAGCAGCTCAGCCTGCAGCGATGGCGGAGAGAGACCTGCACCAGCTGAAGAGAGCCAGCTATGCCAGCGCAGAGCAGCCGTCCTGGATGGAACTCGCCAGAAAGAAGTCTCAAGCTTGGAGTGACATGCCCCAAATTATAAAATAGGTTGACAGCCTGTGACCAGAAGTGTCCACCACCTTGACGGGTCCCTTAGTGAAAAACGGCCACTAAAGGCAAAGACACCGAGACGTAAGAGTGATTTTTATCATCCGGTTATGGGAGGGCGGGCTGGGGGAGGAACGAGCCAGGCAAACAAGGACAGACACCCAGCCACAGGCCTGGCCAGCAGGGCCGGAAAACAAGAAGACCATTGAAAAGGTGTTCAGGGAACAAGGCCCGGTGCCCAGAGGCCTGAATGCCAGTCTTTCAGACATCGCTTGATCAAAGGAGCTCTGGCACGGAAGAAAAAGGCAATGAAACGCGGATGCAAAGCTGGGACCTGGAGAACGTGTGTCTGTGCCCCCACCTGAGACCAGCTTGTGTCTGTGGCCGGGGTCTTGCCTGCGGATCCTGTCTTCTCCTCTCCTTCCCGACGGGGCATGATATTTATGGACGTAAGGATGCCGCTCCCAAGAGCAGCGATAGAGCAGCCGGGTTCCTGAGGACAGTCACCCTGTGAAGGGGCGGGAAGCACCCGGCAGGGCGCATCAGCTCATAGACCGTTTCCAACAATAATTTTTAAATTTTTCCACGAGGCATCTGTGTCCTTAACCGTTGCACAACGCATTGCCTGTTCAATAAAACGGTTCAAACACGCTTCTGTCAGATGTTATTTCTACTCACATTTAGAGAACGTCCTCCAGCCCTGAGTTAAATGCAGAGTATAGTGGTTCCTTTAATAGACGTCTCACTTAAAATCTCTGTTGGGTGGATTTTGGAGTTTGGGTTTTCCTTAGACTTTTTTCTCCCAATAAAATTTTGGTGTTTATTTTGTTAATTCCCCCCTTTTTAAATATATTTTATTGATTTTTTTACAGGAAGGAAGGGAGAGGGATAGAGAGTTAGAAACATCCATGAGAGAGAAACATCGATCAGCTGCCTCCTGCACACTCCCCACTGGCGATGTGCCCGCAACCAAGGCACATGACCTTGACCGAATCGAACCCGGGACCCTTGAGTCTGCAGGCCAGTGCTCTATCCACTGAGCCAAACCGGTTAGGGCTGGTGTTTATTTTGGAAACCAGAAGTTCATATAGTTTTTCTTCCTCTTCTCATCTATTTGCTACAACATATAAAACTATGAAATTTCCCAAAATGTTACAATTCTTGATCATCAAATTAATCTAACTTGCATATTTCTGTTAAAGACTAGGTTTTTAATTATTAGCCAGGATGGTTCATGAATGCAGAATGTGGAGAAGCCAACAGAGAAAGAGCATATATTTTGGGAATCTCAGATTCATGTCTCAGTTACATAATACCTCTATTTTTAAAAAAAACATTTCCAGTTTGTTCTTTTGAACAAGCTAATCTCCATGGGAATATGTATATAGCTGTGAACATTCAGCCATCGGAATTAGTAAGACCTCATACGCTAAGTTTTGATATTTTTACTGCATTTTTTTTCTCTATGAATAATTGTTTTTTTAGCTGTTGCAACTACACAATTGAATCAGGTCCGCCTTCCTTGTGAATGTCCTGGGATAGTTTTGTTTTCCCAACCATGTTGATGTATTAATTCCACTGTCTTAGCAACAGTACAGAATGGCAGGGTGAATGCTCTGAAGAACTCCAGCCATGTAGGCTTGCTCTAAAAGTTTAGGCATGAATAGATTCAACTGGAAAAAATGTTACGTTGGCTGTTACTACCCGAGACCATCCTTTCTCCCTAAGACTACAGGGACTGCCTCCAGCTCGAGCAAGGCTGCCAATTTGAGGAGAGCAAGGCTCCCTCACCCACACGGAGGAGACGATGCTCATCTCCTTCACAGCAGAGAAATCGTCAAGAAGAAAAACACTTGAGCTAATAGGGGTGCCCCTGCAATTTTAAGAAAAATGCACTCCGTGAGATGGGCCCTCGGTCTGCATCAGTTTTCAGTGGGAGACAGAGGAAGAAACACGGGAAAGGCAGTGATCTTTGTACTGGATCCTAAGAGAGACGATAGGGACATATTTCTGTGGCAGCCTGCAGTGGCGTTACATGTGCCACAAATGATCGGACAGTCCTCACTTCAAAAAGGGGAGCCTAATTTGCCTTCCCTGGTTGTGAGACAGACTCAGTGCTCACGTCTAACTCCGGCAGGTAGCAGAGCTGACCTGTGTGACTTTTGAAGTGAGGTGATGAAGGCGGTGCTGCCCTCACCCTGCACTCTTTAGGGCTGTCCTCTCAGAGAGAAGTCAGTCGCCAGGGCTTGAGAAGCTATAGCAGCCTGTGCAGAGGCCCTGGTGGGAAGAACGGAGACCTCCTGCTCTGGCCTAAAGTTGTGCTCCCTCGGCCCCCCACCCCATGTACAAATTATATGTGGGCCTAACCCAGTGTTTCAGAATGTGACTGTATTTGGAGACAGGACCTTTCAAGAGGAAATTAAGTTAAATGAGATCATTAAGATGGACCCTAATCCAATATGACTGGGGTTCTTATGAGAAGGAATTTGGCACAGATACACACAAAGGGAAGACCATGTGACAACACGAGGAAAATACAGCCATGTAGCAGTCAAGGACAGAGGCCTCAAGAAATCAACCCTGTCAATATCTTGATCTCAGACTTTCAGCCTCCAGAACTGTGAGACAACACAGCTCCGTTGTTTAAGCCCCTAGTCTGTGGTACTTTATTTTGACAGTGGGAGCACACGAATACGTCTCCTGTCAGTCACCAGCACCAACTTGCCAGCCATGTGAGTGAGCCCCTTAGAATTGACTCCTCCAGCCCCAATCGAGCCTTCAGATGAGTGCAGCCCAGCTGACATACTGACTGTGACCTCACGAGAGATCCCAGGCCAGACTGCCCAGCCAGGCTGCTCCGAAATCCTGACCCACTGAAAATGTTAGGTAACAAATGTTTGTTATTGTTTTAAGCCACTAAGTTTTGGAGTCATTTGTTACTTAGCAACAAGTATCTCATAGGGCAGTTTTATGTTCTTTTTCTGGGTCACAAAGTGAAAAGGCCTTCCTTGTTTTCACATTAATATTTTAGTTGGGGTTAAGAGCATAACCATATGCACCGTCTGAGAGAAATGTATTTAACACCTCCCAGGCTACAATCTGTCTGAGGTTGTGGAGCAGAGATAGCTAGGGGGGTACACCAAAGACCTGTCATCGCCTCGCATAACCTGGAAGCAGATGTCCAGCCAGAGACTACATCTCCAGCTGCACCCACGCCCACCCAACCCACACCCCTGCTTATACGTGGGACCCAGCCACTGAGCTCTGGCTGACGGGCTGAGAGCAGAAGTGATGGGCATCCCATAGACAAAGTTGTGTCTGGAAGGGGCCAGGGAGGAAGCCAAGAAGACAAGGAAGAGATTTCAGAGAAAGGGGATGTTCAGCTCAGAGAGGCCAAGGGGAGACAGGAGAGGTTCCTGCAGGCGCCTGAAGGAAGAGAGAATTGACTTACTCTGCGTAACTTCACAGGGAACAAACCAGGGCCAGAAGGGGCCGTTCCAGAGGAGGACAGAGACAGGTTAACCTGTTAGAGTGACCCAGCACGGGGCGGGCGGAATGCTGGCCAGCAGGGAGCTCCCTGACCTCCAGGTGAGCAAGCTGTGAGGGTGGATGGCCAGCCCAGACGGAGCCACTCTGCATCTACAAGGCAGGCCTTTCGCTTTCACTTTGTAATGTAATTACATTATGTGGCTCTTAATACTAATTATAACCGAGAAGTAACCATCCAGAAAATGATCCAAATGGGCAATGGGCTTTATGCGGACTGCGGTTGTTCAGAGTGCTTTGAAAGCTCTTTATTACCAGAAGGGAGCCAGGCAGAAGCAGCCAGTCAGCAGATGGGCCTGCCCAGCCCCCTCCATGGTTGTACATGACGGGGAGGGGGGCGGGGGGGAAGGACGGGGGCCGATCTGCTTCCCGCCCCCGCCCAGAATCTCCTGGCGGTCTTGCTGAATTCCCTGGCAGAGGGAACAGTGATTTATTCCCTGGGAGGTGAAAATAGTCTGCAGTGAATAGATTTATTAGGATCAAATAGCAGGAATCGCGCGCTGCTGGTTTGGGGAAGTAGCGCAGGTGCTGAGCAGCGGCTGGCTTTTGCTTTCCCTGCCTTGTCTAGCTTCCTTCCTGCCAGCTCCTTGGGGAAATGACCGTGAGCGTGGGCGCAGGGGAGAGCTGTGCTGTGCTGCCCAGATTATTAGCGACAGCAGCACTGGGACTGGTTGTTGGGCGCACTCCAGTTTGCGTGTGCACCTCCCCCCTCCCCCCGCCACGAGCACTGGAGGCCCCCACACCGGCACCTCGGCTACGACACGTGCAGAAAAGCAAAGTCAAAACTCAGCCCACTCTCCACTAAAGAACAACTTGCCCTGAAGGATTTTCCGACAGAAAAGGGAATTCTGGTGCTCAATGTAGGAAAATGCAAAATTGCTACCGGGACAGAGGAAGTTAGGGGCAATTCACGAGGGAGTCCTTTAGACAAAATAAACCCAATCTTCCAAACGCCGAAGCCTTTAAACTGGGGCTCTCCATCTTCCTCCCCGAGGGAGGGCGAGGAGAGAAGTGATCAGATGGTTTTCACTGCTGCCCACCCCACACTTCTTCTGTCAGGTCCTCTGGAAGGATCAGGCCTGTCCCCTGGAGGCACTGCCCAGGCTCCCCAGGCCTAGCAGGAGGCTGAGGGGGGCTGCCACCACCATCCTAATGGCAGGCAGTCCCCCAGAGCCATGGCCTCCCACTGCCCTGTCCCGGGAGCACTGTCCTCTGGTGCTGCTGAAATGCTGCAGCACAGGACACATTGGTAACACATGTGGGCGAGGCACTGAATTAACAGTGGCCAAGTTAGGAGCCGCTTTCCTGGCAGTGGCTGCAGCCAGGTCCTGGGTCACCTGGGCACCTTGGACGTTCCGGGAGCTCCTGCCCTTCCCAGCCACGGTTCTGTGCATCCCCGAGGCCGCCCACTGGGCGCAGCAGGTTCCGCAGCTCTCTTCTCCTTGGGGTCCTGTCCCCTGGGTGATGGGCGGCAAGCGCTTACAGGCTGGTGTCCCCCACATTCACCTGTTGGAGCCCTAACCCCAGGACCTCAGCGTGTGACTGTGTTTTGAGAGCGGGCCTTGATGGCGTGATGAGGCGAGATGAGGTCACCGAGGTGGATGGTAATCTTAGGCTGGGGTCCTAATAGGAGAGGAGCGCACAGACACGCACAGGGAAGACCATGTGGGGACAGAAGGACAAGACGACTCTCCGCACGCCAAGGTGAGGGGCCTCGGAGGAGCCGGCTGTGCCGACACCTTGATCCTGAGCTTCTGTCCTCCAGAGTTACAAGAAAGTAGATCTCTGTGGTGTAAGCCACCCCGTCTGCGGTGCTCTGTGACGGCAGCCGGAGCGAGCGAGGCACACGTCTGGTGTGGCCCACGCAGGGCGGGGCTGCCTCTCTGATTCCGGCCGAGAGCGGCCTCTTGGGCGCCCCTGACTCTGAGCCTCGTGCTGAGACACAGGAAAGGTCAGCCTCTTTTCTTGAGCAAAAGCTTTGATACTTCTTGCCGGTTATTGTTTATTGAGGAAAAGAGAACAATCCCCAGTTTTTAGTGCTCTCTCCCCGCTTCTGATAACTTCAGCTTCTGAACCACTCGTGGGTGGTCAGGACATGCCTTTGG